TATGACCTTGAGCCCACTTCGGCAACGTGACACGACGTCAGCGATACGTCATTGGCACGCAGCCAACAACTGAGCAGGGCATTCTCGACATGAGCACGTGTCATAGAGGCGCGAAGAGAAAGTGCGGTGTGAAGAGCACTCTTCTCCTAGCGAAAGTAGAGAGACACCTCTTCATCTCGAAGGCTTTCGGTCTGGCAATACCGTTTCTCCCGGTAGCCTCGAGCTTTACAAAACGGCAAAGGGCATTGAAGGAAAAAAAATAAAAATATGGACTGCACAGCCGAAACTGCATCACCGCAGGGCCATGGTGTTGTTTTATCGGGCAAATGGCCAATTGACGAGCTCAGTAGCATCATGCTACTGAGCTCGTAGCAGCTTGACATGCTGCATGTCAAGCTGCCCATGGGCAAGCTTGTGCCATTGCGTGCATGAGCGAGATTGGTCAGAAGGAACGAGGCATGGGAATTGTTTTTCGAAATAGAAGGTTGTGCATGGCATGCAGCACTGTAATATTCGGAAAACGTGACCGCTGCTGTCTAATGTAGGAATTGGTGAGCTTTTCTGGGAGGTGTAAAAAAAGAAGTCTGAACCTGTTTACTGGCCCTTAAAAGGGAACATGCAAGTGAATGGCCAGCAGCCCGAGTGGTGTTGACTGGCGGCGAGATTTGTAAATGCAGCACATGTGCACAAAATCATATGCGAGGAGCACATCCAGCTTTGTCTGCTATTTATCCGCCCCTGCAATAGAAAAGAGGTTCCGTATTTTCGCAATACGATTTACGTAGCCACCACTCTCCCTACACTAGTCTGATATTCAATGATTCGATTTATATGTGAGGTTTAACATCCCAAAACCACCATATAATTATAAGAGACGCTGTAGTGGAGGGCTCTATAAATTAGTCTGATATTCAACAAGAAAAAAAAAAAAGAAGTGGTTTGATCTATTGCTACAGTCTTTTGCCAGCTTTCATTGGGCACAGTGCTTGTTCGTTGAAGTGACGTATGCAGAAGCTCCTTAAATCAGATATACTAGTGATCTTAATTGAACATGTTGTTTTATGAAAAGCATTCTTTTACAAGAACATATGGACACAGTAGAATAATGCATGTGTAGAAGAACACAGGAAGGTAAATTTGGAGGAGGAAACACACTGACTATAGACAGTTTAGTTTACTGGGCTTAGCAGGATAGCGGGCTTACGAGAATAGCGGGATGGAAGTGCGCATGCACAGTAACGTACGTGGCCCAAACCACTCACTGTACGCATGCTATTTTTTCGATTTAACGTTACTGTTGGCGAGTTTACATAGTGTATGTAAAGCATGGCGGCAGTTTTGGATGGTCGCTTTGAAATGATTTTGGCATACTTGTTGAAAAATTCACTTTGTTTGCAGCAATTGACTGTTTAAAATGGCTTCTCTTACCCTCAGTTAGCTTTGATGACCAAGTATTAGGGATAAGTTAGCGCAGTTTTTGAGATAGCTTCCCATTTCCAACATCTCTAGGCCTAATTAAAAGATCGATGCAAACCAAGCGGCAACATAAATATTTTCACATTTGGTATGTGGTTCATGATTATTTACCTTAATTATTACTAAAGAAGACTTGTAACATTGCTTCGCATAGTGACACAGGCAAGTATTTTCGCTTTCTATTTTAATGTTCTTTAACTTATTCACCCTCTGCTAGGTGGCGCCACCATCTCAACTGGAGCACATAAACACTAATCCGCTAAACTGTAAGGCGCCGTTCGCAACGAACGTTTGTGGTACAGTAATGCTATTCCCTTAATCCCCACTATCACGCTAATGGTAAACTATAACTGTCTTATATTTCTGAGGCAGAGGATATATGGGGCAAGGACTTGCTGTAAGAGCTACGAACAATATAGAGCTGGTGTGTTCACGCATATCAGTGCTGTAGTAAATGAAAAAAAAAAAAAAAACAGCCAGTGGGAGGGAAGCAGGACAAAGAGTTTCTGCCCACAGTCGTTTTTTCATGGTATAGCTCACAGCAACTGGCCACATTTAACAGACAAGGCAATTGACGTTCAATGCACCAAGCACACCAAGCATTTTTTGCGACTATAAAATATCTGCGTATTAAACCAGACACAGGCGAAGTTTCAATCAATTGCTCTACAATGCGAAAATGAACAGCAGGGAAGGCCAGCATTCACTAGTGCACGGCAAGCACTTGGATCGAAAAATAGCAGACAACACGGATTTATATGCATGCAACGCATTTACAAATATCTCCAGCAGTTAGTGCTCCGCCGACTGCCAGCCCCACACTAGCATGTTTGCTCTATGAATACCCAGTACTGTACATTTTAGAGTGAACTGTACAGAATTGCCATTTAATTTCAACCAATTATCGAAACATTTGTCACTGAATGTCAAGATCCATTATTAAGAACCATAGTCTTTCTTGGGGTACTTCAACGCAAAAATTTTTGCCTGTCTGTCTGTCAGTACATTTGTCTGTTTGCCCCCCCCCCCCCCCCCCCGTAATGATACCCCAGACGGTTAACACCATCCGCAGCGCCCACCAATATTGCTCAAGTTTCAGCATTTATACTTGTGCGATTATGAATTAAAAAGCAATTATTGCGCATATCTGAGGCACCATAACAACACGTCGATATTTTGTATGTGTGTCTTTATACTAGAGAAGGCATACATAAGTAATTCTAAGGACCGTAGCGTTTATCACGCTGCGCTGACAATGCAATGTGATGCTCAAAAAGGCAAGTGTTTCCTACGCTTTGCTAAGACGACACAGTGGTGTCACCTGCCCGTCGCTTTGCGTTCTACCCTTTATCACCTCCAATACAGGCGTGCACGCCTTCCTTCGTTTTCAAAGTAACTGCCAGATAGCGCTTGTGTGCAACGTGCCCCGATGCGCTCGTTCGCCTTCGCTACATAGATCGAGACTCTCTAACGCAGTGCCTCCAGAATGCAATTCACCAATTTTCTTGCACAGAAAATAAATAAACGTTTTGTTCACACTCTGCAGACACAAGACTAGTATCGTCTTTCGACGATATTTGCAGTGAAACTTGCAGATACTGGGCCAATTTTTTTTTTTTACCTTTTGCTTAACATGCAACGCACAATGCTATATGCAGAAAAAGGAGCCTTAACATACTTTCCATGAAGCTATTTTCATGTTTCACTGCATAAAGCAATGTTAAAGTGCTGTTTGCAATGCAAGCATTTAAGCTACTAGCACAAAACTTGTTTTACACACTATGAATGTGTGCTATCAACAGCAAAAGTTTGCGGGACGCGAAATGTTCAATCAAGTTTTTTGTCTGGGAATGTAATTTCGATATAAATGTTCTATACTGCACTTGGTATTCCGACCTGTACAGTCACCAGCTTAATTACAAGCGTTAAGCCGCATTGCAGCAGAAATTCGCATTTTTTGTGGATCCAACGTCCCGCAAACTTTTGCTGTTGATAGTACATAACCCTAACAGATTATAAACTCCTTGTAAAGAAGTTTTGGCTGCAATATTTATAGAACTTGTTCCAGGTCCTTAAAAGGAGGTGGTTTCACATATTTTACGCTCATAAGCACAGACTGAAAGAAGTTTTGCAGAAGAATTTAAGGCTTTCAATGTTACTAAAAGCAGAATGTAGCATCTTCCGTCTTTTTGAGGGCACTCTCAAAAGCACAACATACTCCCAACTGCTCAGACAAAAGCTTTTTGGTATTCAAGAGACGTACACAGCAGCATTAAAGACTGAAAAATGCATATAGTGCACCAATTGTTTAAATCAGAGTCACTGAAACTTGGTTCTGTGGAAACCAAGGTCTTCCTGAAAGCATTTCAAGGTTCCATGAAAGGCAATAGTTATAGCGCGAGAACAGAACGACGATAAAGAGACAAACAGGACACGGTGTCTTCGTTCTGTTCTCACGCTATAACTATCGTCATGTCATACCAACTAGCCCAAACTGCCACACTTCTAAGTTTCATGAAAGGGATGAACAAATGCAACCCACTTCCACTTAACCTCCATTAACATCAAATTTATTGATTTAGACAAGAAATTGCCAGTGACAGGTTCCAAATCAACAGCGATCCCCTTTATAATTGAAAATAAGATGAAAATGTGGCAGCACTAATACTTCAGTTTTGCAGAATCATCAGCAACATCAATCCTCTCCCTTCACTTACCTTATGGTAAAAGCCCACCAGTGTAAGAAAGGACGCTAATCATTCCATGACCCTCTAGGAATGCTGTTCGGGTTCCCAAAGGCCAGGAGGTTTGAGAACCCCTACTTTAAACTGATGGCATTTATACAAAAACTTAGTATGACAGCATTTTCGAGCCAAAAGGCAAAATATTTTATTGTAGTACACTCAAACCTCAATATAATGAACATAGATTTAAAAACTTATTTATTATAACAAAGTTAATGAATAACAGTCTTGTAATAGATAGTGTTATAAATGTAGGTTTATAACGAATATTTTAATATAACAAAGTTACTTCCATTGCAGATGTGACTTTGTTATAATGAGGTTTGAGTGTACAAGTTTAATATGGGTGCGAACACATGAGAATATATATGAACATGCCTTGAAATTTGTACATTTGCTACTGTTTGTTATGAAGGCAAAATTTGAATTCCTGCATTGTTTCAGCAAAAATTAATTTTGTTGCAGATGTGACTGTTATAATTAGGTTTGAGTGTACAAGTTTAATGTGGGTGCAAACACATGTAAATTTATATGAACATGCCTTAGAATTTATACATTTCCCACTGTTTGTTACAATAGCAAAATTAAAGTTCCCGTATTGTTTTAGACAGCTTTGTTACACTAAACAGAAATGCAGTTCACCATTTACCTACATTCATTTTATTTTGTAGTGGAGCTGCAAAAACTTGTTCTTTCAGGCAACTGCAATTGATGAACACATACAAGATACCAACAAATTATGAAACATGCTGTTTCACACTCCCGATGTACAAATCTCACCTGGTACATTTTGACTTTCTGTCCAATGAAGGCATCCCAGATGGTAACAGTGCCTTCGTAGTCACTGGAAGCCAGCATACCCTTATGATATGAACTCCAACTGATGCAACTGGGAGTAACCAACATAAGGAAGGTGCATGTAACAAAAGTCATAGGAGAACAAAAAAATTATTCCAATAATTGTAAAGAAGTGATATGAACAGTTTCATATTTACTGTGTACTGATATACATATTCCCATACTTTTGTCCCACCATTACACTAAGGTGCCCTCATTTTCTGCATTCTTTTTACAAAGTTGCACTCTGCACTAAGTTGCATGCAGTAAAATGAAGTCAGCTAGCTTTAGAGTAATTCTGCCAACTATTGTATGTACATTATTAGAAGCTTGATTTCTCATCCTACCGAGTTTTTACAGCTTGGGAGTTTATTAGTGGCTGCGGAACATGCTCTCTCGTAAGAGTACATCTACAGCATGAAGTACGAGCAGGCATTTCCAAACTTTCTACCTCACTATGTCACATTTCTACGTTTAAATATTTACACTGTAGCACAAAGCCATCACCCTCGTCTTTTTTGCCACCTATACAGTCGAACACTGAAATATCGAACCAACATATACAGAATTTTCGGGTATATCGAACTCATAAGTTATCCCCTTGAAATTCCTTTGTAAAAGTAAAGAAATTCACAGGTTTATATCGAACAGTATTTTTACCAGCCTTCGGATATATCAAACGCCGCGTGAGTTGGAAGGTGCACTTTGGCACTCACAGTGCCTGGCGACCTCTGCGCAGCACCATGCCTCCGCCAAAACCCAAAACACTCAAAAAAAGTAAGAGCGAGAGGGCTCGGTTGCATAAACTTTAACTTTCCGAACGGCCCTTTTTTTTCTTTTCTTTGTTTCTTTTTGCTTTCTCTGCGTACCCATCAACTCAGAGAGCAGGAATGAAGAAGCCGACATCCCCCTCTTTTCGCCCTTTACTTTTTTTTTTTGCTGTTTTGCGAGTTTTGACCAGCCAACCACAGCTGGCTCTTTTTGCTGTTGTCCTCGCAGGTGGCCATCGCCTTGCGAGCGCTGTTGCTTTTGTTGTCGTGTCCCCTACGTACCACCGCATGCGCAGCATTTCTCCTTTGCGTGCGTGGTGTACAAAGCCGCTGCGGGCTCCTTGAATTGTCGACTTCTCGTATAGCTATGGCCAGCTTCAATAAGCGCAAGACCCTTGACTTTGCGACGAAGTTGAAAGCTATTCAGCATGTTGAGGCAGGCAAGAAATGTTCGACCGTCGCGGACGTTTGTGGGATACCACGGAGCACTCTTAGTGCCTTGTTAAAGAACAAAGCAGATATCAAGGCAAAGATATCAAGCGAACGTCGGGAGCCTGTCATGTGCGCGCTCCTGCCCATGGGATAGTAGAAAAGGCACTCTATGCCTGGTTTTTAAAGTGCACATGAAGAACATTCCGATGAATGGCCTGATGATGATGGCCAAGGCCTGATGTTTTTCCGCTGCACTCAATGAAACAACTTCGCCGACAACACTGGGTGCCTTCACCGATTTAAGCAGCGCTACAACATCATTGGAAAAGCCATTTCTGGAGAAAGCGAGGTTGTCAACAGCCAGGACATCCAGCACTGGATGACGAAGGAGTGGCTGGAAATCTCCATGAAGTTTTCTACCCCGGAGATCTTCAACACCTGGCGAGACGTGAAGGCAGAAACAGTGGTCAACTGCTTCTGCAAGGTAGACTTCGAGACGGCGGAACTTGCAAAAACCAGTGAAGACAACGACGACGAGCACATAGACGACACATTTCGCGAGTTGTCGTCCCGATTCCCGCCAGCAGTCCCACACGAATTGTCTGCGGACAATTTCGTGGAAGCGGACTGCAATGTCCAGGCCGTTGCGAGCCTCGCTGACGAGGACATAGCAGCTGCTGTCACAGGGACCCAGGTTGCCCAGGCCGGCAGCTCATGTGACGAGGAGGATCATCCGGACTAGGCGCTGGCTACACGCACGTACTCCGCCGCTGAAGTGGCGGCAGCGTTCAGTGTCATTCACCATTGTATCAGCCACATGGAGTGAACCGGACATTCACACCTGGACAGCCTTGATAAGATCCAGACTAGCGTCTTCAACTTCATTTTAAAAACGAAGAAGCAGGCTGATATGTGATTTTTTTTCCCGCATATAGATTATCCTGTTGCAGCCTGTGTGCGAAATTAGTTGTCAGTGCCTATTGTAGGTGATGGTTCGCTACAGATAAGCTCTCGGGGCCTGTATTTTCTATATCAAATTTTTCACATATCAAGCTAATTCGCAATCCCCTTTAAGTTCGATATATACGGCCGTGTTTGATTGTATTAGTTTGCAAGACTTTTTTTCTTCTGTCGTCTCTCGCTGCCTATTCCACCTTCTTTTCCAGTGACAACAGTGCTCAGTTTGTCGGTGTTTTCTACAGGACAGCCTGTGCCCATTATCCTAGCTATTTCATCTGTTCCTCCTTTATCTGCTACTCTCCTTGCGTTGGCTGGTTAAGAGTTCCAGCCAGTGCATAAATGGAACATCTTTTTTCCACATCGCCATTTGATTGCACTGAAGTGGCTAGTGGAGCAGGCCCTTAAAAAGGCCCTGCAATGCTTTTTGTCTACATTTTGCAGTGCTGGAGTTCATGCAATGCCAAATAATAGAGATAAACACACAAAAAATTATTGAAATTGGTGCATGGCAATGAAAGTCATTAGCCTCCAAACTTGAAAACCTAAGCAGATCACCACGAGAAAAAATGTTCCCTTTCGCATTTCACTCTCCCATTGATGTCAAAGGCCACTTCCAATTGTCGCGCACCTCATACACAAACGTACTGAAACTCTCCTTGTGGTGGCCATTGCGCAGCGCTCCTCGAGTTGTTTTGCGATTGTTTTCACATTTTCATATTTAAAAACGTAAATCCTTTGGTATCTGAGAAAGTATAAAGAGTCCTTTTACAATTTTTAGTGCACAAAAGTGTGGCCTATCTGGGATTGTATAAACAGTACGCACGACTTGTCGCATCGAACCTATCAAACGCACGGCCCGTGTCGTCACACCCATGTGGTGAAGCGTTACTTCGGATCCCAAAAACAGCGCCTGTATGTCGATCTAGTTCAAAAACAGTGTGGCTTCTTCATAGAAATAAATTTATAAAAGCTTTGTTTTTGGTGTTGTCACTCGTGCAACGATATCGGTGCATTCCACAGTTGAAGAGAAAGTGACAGAAACAAATAGCTTAATTTGCATCACAGGGCCCCTTTAAACTGTTAATAAGAGTGATGGTTGCTCTTCCTTCACCTAATACGAGCCAGATCGACAGCTGGTCCGAGGGAAGGGTAACATTAACTACACAATTATTTAACCTCGAAATGACACCTGAATTGTGGAGGCTTGCACGTACTGTGAACCCTGGTATTTCTTTCAACATAATGTCGATTTGATTATGTGGGGTTTAATGTCCCAAAACCACCACATGATTATGAGAGATGCCGTAGTGGAGGGCTCCAGAAATTTCGACTACCTGGGGTTCTTTAACGTCGAGAGTTTAATGTCGAGAGTTTGATTTCTTCGCAAGATAGGAATGTCCGAAAAACAAGAAGTACTCAGCAGTCATAATTCTCGTCATCAGCAAGTTCAGCCTAACTAAAAATATAAAAAGTTACATTTGTTTTACAATATACAAGCAAAAACACACAACAGCAGTGTACCATCTCCCCCCCCCCTGCAAAAAAAACAGCACTGAAAGGGTTAAACTAAGTACAGGAATTTAACAACTACCCATCTGTAGCACAAAGCCACAAAGTAATCTTTGTGGCTTTATGCTACAGATGGGTGGTTGTCAATTTATATTTCTTAACCCTTCCGCAACATTGGGGGTTTCTGCAGAACAATTTAAAATAAGGTTAAGCTAATTCAAACTGTGACACTTACCTTATCTTTGAATTGCACATCATCTCATTGACCGGGTAGTGAATGTCCACAATGTCTTGTATAACTGTGCCATATTCAAAGACCTGACAAAGGTGCACAATAAGAAATTCTAGACACAGTTTCACAATCACAACTGCAAAAACTTTGAAACAAAATTAAGACCTTTATCTTCTTGGTGACCCCAGCTATGGCAAAAAACTCATTGTCCTTGTCAAATTCTATGCTGCAAGAAAAGTAATAGTATGTAAACAAATAATAAAAAGAGAAAGGTAATAAAGCTCCGAGATGCAGATCGTGATGTTGCAACACAGACAAGTACAACACTAACCTGGACACAATGCTGGTGCCATTGAGCAGATCAGTGGCATAGTTGAGTGTTGCCAATGGGCGCATACTGCTGTACCTTGTGAACTTTGAAAGATTTTCTGTGAATTCCTTTAAGCCATCTGCAATGACACAGATACAAAATTCCGAGAATGTTTTAATGCATTCAAAATACACTTTTTAAAGAAACTTTGTCATAAACATAAGTGTGTAGTACACAGACACTAATGGGAAATTCAACTGGCAGATCCGGAGCAGCTGCCGAAATACTGGAACGAGCACTCAGATTGCACCAAGCCAGTTCTTTGAGTGGAACACATGAACGCCTCGTGTGAGGCCCGCGTACGTCACTTACCGAAAACGAGTTTCTTTTCAGCTCTCTACGTTTCAATGAAAACTGTTTCGCCACTGCAAAGCACGCATTTCGGCCCCGCATTCATGAAAAGCAGGGGAACAGCTTTCCGATTTTAGGTATGTAAACAAGCGCACAGGGTTACTGGACCACCTTAAAAAACGCTGAAAACAACCAAGCTGCCCAACTGTACCGGAAATGACGGCAATGCATTCTAAGAGTTTCAGCGAAACCCGTCTCTGCAAGACGGAGCACGCAGAATGCTTCGTCATAGAGTGGGTTGCTCCAAACCTACCAGTGGAAAATGCAAACCTCTTTCAAATCTACCAGCGGAACGCGGATTCTGAGCCGCGGAGCAAGAAAGTATGCTCCCGCTCGACAAGTGGAATTTGCCATAAGCGTATTAAACCTTTTATGACAAAAATGAGCTGGGCTTGTCCATCCACTTTTAATTAAAACAGCCAAGAATGAGTGCAGCTCGCCAATGGTACTTCATCTTTTCTCACAATGCCATGGATAAGCTGGCTTTGCCTCAGTGCTTTTTGGTGCTTTGGTAAGGCAGGATTGAGCTTAACTTGTGACAGAGGAATTGAAACATGTAGGTAAGAGGAGAGCACAGTAAAAAAATTCTACCATTTCTAGTCAGAATTTAGGATTACGGCTTGGAATAATATGGGTTAACAAGAAGAAGAGGTGGTAAGACAAGCAGAATGAAAAACTCTGACTCAGCAGCCAACAAATAACATCAACAAGGTACATTCTTAATAAAGCAGCATCTTTAAAGCATCACCACTTAACATATCTGTGTGTAGTACAGTATCATAGTTCAGAGGAATAAAACGAACCGCCAACAGGATTCTATGCAAAGAGGCATTCCCCCAAATGTGACAAAGCTACGAAGTTTTCACTGGCTCTCAAAACTATCATTTATGGGCTATCACTAATAACATTTACTAATAATAATTGTGAGGGTTTAAAAGCGGAAAGAAACTTCATTATGTTGAGGCACGTCATAGTGGCAAACTCCAGATTGATTTCAACAATCTAGGCCTCTCTAACCTACATGTGTATCTAAGCACACCGGTGTTTACTGCATTTCGCCTCTATCAAAATACAACTGCAGTGAATCGAGCCCGAGCCCTCGAGCTTAGCAGCACGATGCGGGCTATCAATGCTGTCATTTCTGGAAGCAGAGGCCAGCGTGAGCAGGGACCGAACCTGCGACCTTCAAATAATGTGTCCGATGCGCCACCAACTGAGCTACCACGGCGGTTATGCACCCCTCGTCCACTTTATGGGGTATATATGTGCATTTAAATGTGGGAGCATTAGTCAGCTCTTTTTCTGCCCATTAGCATCACGCGGCATAAGATCTCGTTATGGGCTGGCAGCTGACGAATAATCTCTCACATATTACCTGAAAGCATGAAGTCTGCCAGAACAAGACCCTCGCTATGGAATGAAGTGGAAATTTTAAGGCTAGTTTTTTTCTTCATCAGACACAATATCAATGAGAGCTAACAGACAACACTGCCAAGAGAAATGAAGAGAGGAATAAAGGAAAATGGAAGAAGCTCAGAAGCCGACTGATAGTAGTGTGATAGGGGTGTTAGGTGCCAAATCAAGAATGCCTTTAAGCCAGAAACACTCCAATGTCATGTGAACAAGTGAAAATGGTGAACTTTGGCGCAGTTGGCACAAGTAGAATGACACAAGTAAAATGGCACAAGTACAACTGTAGCAAAGTAGCACAAATGGACCACCACTAGTATATAATCGAACTGTGAAATGGTATGCTTACATGGTTGCCAGGAGTCACTAAACAGTAAGAATCAACTACTGATACATTCTGCAGAGACTTTCAAATGCCTCAATCTTGAATGGCTAATTTAATCTATATGCTGGCAAAATGTCTGCAGAGAGTGATTCCCACTGAACATGGGAAAAATGACACTCAACAAATCAAGTCCTTCGTGTTATGTCTTCATCTGTAGAACATCATATATATTATACAAAAAAGCAAGCACCTTTAACTTGCTAATGACAGCAATGATTGAAGACACTGTATACCACTGATTATCAAAAAACACAATGAGCTGTATAAAATCATTCGGCACAGGGATATTTATAACTCACATATCATAATCAGTTTCATTGCCTTAATGCACCACTTTACATCTGAATAAACTAAATTCATGCTTCTATCTATATATCACGTTTTATAAACATGGAAAACAATGGCTTCCTTTCAAATGTCCTGGTTTCACTGCAAACTTCCAAATATTTAACGGTATCAGCGCCACTACATACAACCAATTCTACTGCTGAAATACATGTGCATTAACAATATTCACGAAACAAAATGCTAACAGGGACGATAATAAGAACTGTTTATACACTGGTAATGGAAGAAACACAATCTCGCAAAAGAATTGATGTACCCACAACAGCTCTTTAGGATTCCACCTTACACACTTCAATCTACAAATGCTAGTATTAGTACACAAAATACCATGTTAATCATTCAAAATTTTAAAAAATGAAATAGTACAGGATATGAAGAGTTGCAAAAAATGGTCTGTTCACTGGTTGGATGCACCACTACAATAACAAGCTACAACTAGGTACCTATTCCCTTGTACTTAACAAGAAAGCTAGTCATGTAAGGAAGAGACGAGGCAAACAAAGCAGTCATCAATATACCTATACTGTATGTGAGATAAAGACCAACCGGCAGAAATGCCATGGAAGCCCTTCATTCGTGCTGTGAGGTAGCAGTCTTCCAAATCATCAAAGTGTAGATGAACACGTTTTCGACGGGAGGCCAAAGTGGTCTGCACCCATTGGGGCTTGCTCCCCTGATCATAAATAAAGCAATAGTCTCACACACATGGATGCAATTCAAAGCAACAAAGTGAATTTATCATTCATTGAAGCTGCTACATGCAGAAACCAGAATAAAGAAAGTGCATTATAACACATTGGATAAGGAGCACCACACATTCGTGTTTATCTTTGTCTTAGTGCACACTTTTTTGTGCGATGCGTGTGTAGTTTACAAATAATTTGTGCTTACATGTAGAGAAAATGGAGCAGCAAGCTAGACACAGCAGAGGCTTAGAAGCAATACAGTGTTGTTTAGGTCACAGTGACTCATTCAGCAACTCTGCTTCCACAAATTCAGGTGGCTTCTGGAAAGTTGCCTGATTACATTCGCTCAAAGGCCCTCACCTAGGGCACCAAGCATTGCCACAAAATGGTAGCATATGTGCCATCACAACTTCTCATATCTGTTTTTATTACCTACCATCTGATGTGCTCCATTTTTCAATACACTTTTGTCATTTTTGCAAATACAACCTATTTTTCATCAAACTTAATACACCACTGACTATACAACAGCACGAACCTAGCTTCACTAACTGTATGACAAATTTTACAAAAGTTAAAAAAACTGCAATCTCTGTCTCCATACTGAAATAGTCAAATCAAAACAAGAATAAAATATTAATTTGAGTAAGTTGATCAAATAATGCTATTGTATGATTTTAAGGTTCAAAATTAAAAAAAAGGCACTTACATGCTTGCTGCCATTGAACCCGTCCTGCATAATGCTTGCATTTGCTGAGCTTGCGCTATCACCACCAGCTAAACAAGATGTGGGATCAACAAGCCAACAATTGTCTGGAGACTTGGAATTTTCCTGAAAGACAGAAATTTCATCGTTCCATAAGACATTAGGAACTATCAATAATTATGGATAGACAACAGAGATATAGTAGAACAGAAAAACTATCATCCTGTGTTTGTGGCAAACTTGAAGCTACAAAATCTGAAATCACAACCAGTTCTGGGGTTTACACAGAATTTGAACCACAAGGAATATTACATACACACTCTAGTTCATTTCTAGTTCACTCTAGTTCAAGACAAGGTGATGTGCTACTGATCTCCTGCCCCACATCTAGAGCACTTTGTCTTACTATCCTTCATCTAAAACGAATAACACAAAATAACACTGTCCATAACGATTAAATTTGGCATCGCAGAGAAGACATCCTACAGTGCACCTACAATAGTGCATTCCACAGGCCACACGAACATGTTATCAATTTTACATGCATTGAACATCAAGGAGACACTAAATTAAACAAGACAGATAAGCTATTGACTCTGAACTTTCTTATAATTAGTTTTACCATTTTAGAATAATTACTAGAAGGTCAAAGCTCACTTATTGTATCAATGTCAGCTAGCATCAATATCAACATTACAGTCCACAAAGTGAGTAGTAATTAACAAAAGGTTGATGGTTAATGATGACAAATTTATTTATACCAGGAAAATGAAGAAAAAGCATTGCACTAAGAAACATATAATGTCATCAAATTATGCCCCCCACCCAGCAATAAAACTAAAAAGAATACCATGTTAAATGCCCAGCAAAGCTAGCTAATAACAAAAGCCACCTAAAAGATGAGAAGCAATATTTAGACTTTTCCTGAAGCCAGCTGAATTTGCAAAAACAATTGTTGAATGACTGGATGTGATCTAAAAAACACTGTATTGCTCCTAAATCTAAGAAACCATGTATTAGCAATCATGAGCATGTTCAGCATTCAATGTCTAATGTGCAAATGTGTTGAAGTGATGACATCCTTAGGTATCTGATGATGTCAAACACTTTTACTGTCGGTTGTTGTATCTACCATTCCCCATCTTCATTTGTTCCTGATTTCCTAGGTAGGCAACCCAATCTTCTTCATGCCATATCCCTCGAGCATAAGCAAGTTTTAATTCTTGGTGATATTAATATTAATTTACTGGACATAAATAATGGCACTACAACAGCCTATACTGACTGTACAGCTGGTTTTGGATTTGAATCATCAATTACTTCTCCTATTAGGTATTCTACACATGGCATCTATACGCTTCTTGATCATCCTTTAACTAACATCTTACCGTCTCCACCTGCACCTGTCATAGATACCCAGATCACAGACCATTTACCTATAATCATAGCAGTTCAGGCCAAAATTCCTCAATCTAACTTGACCTACTTTTTCTCAACGTTAGTCCGTGATGGCTTCATTGGTGCTATATCAGGTACGGATTGGTTGTCGATTACATCCATGGAAAACCGAGAACTAGCTCTTGAAAATTTTTGTTTCATATTTTTAGAAGCTGTCCACACTAACACAACTACCATCAAATGCAGGAAACATTTCAAGTTTATACGCAATGCATGAGTAACGTGTAACATGCCGACCAGTATGAGAAAAAAATACTTATACAGAAAGACTAAAAAAACCTTTCAATGTTCCGTTTGGCTGCTCGATATAAATCATATTGTAATGTGTTGAATAATTTGCTAAAGAAGTCATAACAACTATATTATGAAAACGAATTCGCAAAGCATAAAGGAAACACTAAGAAACAGTGGAAACTACTTAAAAATTTTATGAATTTCCAAGAGACTGATGAAACATGTAATAGTATAATTTACAAAGGAAAATCTATAAGCGATGCTTCTACCATAGCCAACTTTTTGAGTGACTATTTTTATGACATATACAGCAGTCGTCAAACAGCTTCTGCATATCCAATGACACGAAGTAATCGTGTCATCGCTCTTCTTTCTTCCTGTTTCCTGTAAGTGCCAACGAAGTGCGCTTCTTTTTTTATTAGCTCTGAGAAACACCAGTGCTGGTTTAGACAACATTACTGTTTTCCACCCGAAAATCATTGCCACTTTCATTTCTGAGACGCTTTGCATCATAGTTATTTACATTTCCCAAAGCAGCATTTTTTATAATTCACTAAAAAGGCAAACATTATTCCAGTATAAAAAAAGGGGATAAATCTGAAGTGCCTAATTATCATCCCATTTGTATTCTATCAATTGGCTAAATTTTAGTAAAATGAATTCATAAACAATTAACTACTTAAATAAAAAAAATTTTAAATCTCTGTCGATTTGGTTTTCGTAAGGAAAGCTCGACTAACTTAGCCTTATTATCGCTAACAGACTACATTAGTCGCAATAGAAATTTTGTTGCATTAGTTTTCTTAGACATTATTAAAGCCCGTGGTACTATTAATCATAGCATCCATTTTTTTTTTAATTGGAATTATTTGGCATTACTGGTCCCCTGCTAAACCTCATTCGAAGTTACTTGCTTAACAGAGAGCAAACAGCATTTACAGGTGGTGTTTATTCTAATACCAAAATTATTAATCAAGGTGTACCGCAGGAATCTATACTGGATCACTTACTTTATTCTATTATATTAAGGATTTACCATCATGTCATGGCTCTGCACAGTGTGTGCTGTATGCAGATGACACTACAATCTCATTATGTCATAGATCTCTATCCAGCTTAATCTCTAAACATGAACAAATTGTTATGCGGTGTGTTTCAATGAAGTTAATCATCAATCCTAATAAAACTACATTTATGATCTTTAGAACTGTTCAAAGAATACTAACAAATAGGCCTGATTTAATTTTAGATGGTCACATCATCCCAGGCTCTACCTGTGTATCTTTCTTGGGAATTAAACTAGACTCTTACCAAAAGTTTTCCTATCATATCGCTTTTATTAAACATAAATGTACATCAGTATAAGAACTCTAATTAGATCCTGATCATATTTTTCTAAAGATGCATTATATTTTGCCTTCATACACAGTCACATTATCTATGGCATTGTCTCCTGGGGTAATAAGCATCATTGCCATTTATCATCTATTCACCACTTACAAAACCAAGTCATTCGCATCATCACTAATGGCAACTTATTTACCAATGTGTCTCTATTACTTCATGACCACAACATATTATATATAAGGCTTGTTTAGCTATCATCTCAGTATTATTCTTATAAACTGCTTAATAAACAGCTCTCCTACAACTTTATTGATTCCTGTTATCTTACTAATAAATATATACCAGGTGTGCACACAGCTCTCTAACTTTCTTTCGCCCGTAGTACATACTAACTACAGCAAAATGACCTCGACATTCAAGGCCATAAAACTAGGGAATGACTTACCACTACCTATCAAAACTTCATCCTCTTTTCATCAGTTCAAATATGTCATCAAACTTTATTTGCAAATGTAAATTTACACAACTCAGTATATCGCTACTTATATAGGTCGTACTTTTTGATCATCACAATTCATCACTTGTGTTACAATTAGTTTTGTTAGTTTCTTTTCTCATTTCATATACTTTGACACTGTGTTTCAGTCCATGTATTTTAGCTTTGTATATTACTTGTTTTTTTACATTATTTTTATTGCTGTTCACTTGCTGTTTTTTTTTTTCCTTTTTAGACTTCTGGTTAACTATTATTACCCGAGGGTCCCGCTGCAGTCTTAGACTATGAGACCCTCGTCTGTATATTTCTCTATAACCACATTTCATTGTGCAAGAATAATAAATCACTGATTTCAGTGCCACCTCCTACTGCAATGTCCTTATCACAGCCACAAATTCGTTATTGTGTACACACGTATATGCCAATTAGGAGTCTATCAACTGGCCTCCTAACAACTGAATATAAATAAGCCTTCTACCATAACAGGAACCCACTTGGATTAATCTTCATTGTAGTATTTGTGACACATCCATTAACTACACGTGTTCACAGCATACTAATGCAGGAAGGCTGACCCTTCTATGGAAGTTTAATTTTTGGAGTTTAGCATCCCAGAACCACTATATTATTTGAAGGACATCGTAGCGAAAGGCTCAGAAAACTTTTACCACACGGGGTTCTTCAACCTGGACCTAAATCTAAGTACGCTGGCCTCAAGCATATTTCCTGGATTAGATACTGCAACCTCCTGGTTAGCAGTTGGGCATCATAACCACTAGATTCTATTAAAGTTTATATATAGTAGGCACCTACTTCCACGTAAATAAGTGAACACTGTACACTTATGATACACTTAAGTGCACTTCCATAGAATTAAGAACATTGTGTAAGCAGTGTTCGGCATACTTGTCCCCCAACCATCAGCAACTCATCATTTTCTTATACAGTAGTGTCAGGCTTGTTATTCGAATGATTTTAATGTCCCGATTCCGTACATGAATGCAGAATCAATAATGAAACAAAACCATGGAGTCACCCCACCAGAGTAAAATTACCTCAACACGTTTAAGGTCTTCATCAATGAAGCTCAGCTCAGTTGTAAGCTGGTGCATTTGCTGAAAAGAGAACCAGCCAAATGAACATTTAGCAGAGTAACAAAAAAAAAAAAGAAAACTTTATAGTTAAGTAGGTCACCTCTTGCTTGTGCTTGCGAACTTGCTGCAGAAACTCTCTCAGGAGCTGTGCTTGGGCTGCTTTACAGTCCTGCAAAATAATAACCAAAAGTAACCCTCACTTGCTGTAACTGACAATATGAGCCTCCTAGAGCTCTTTAAAGCACAAGGTTACATCAAAAATACAAATTAAAGAGCAATAAATACGCCACATTAATGGCAAACTAATGGTAAACTAGGGATATAAAGAGAGCAATATTTCATAATGAATAGAGTGCTGCTGCCAAACAAAACAAAATATTGAACACTTACATGTTTACAAATAATGAAAAGCTATTCCTAATAAAAAAACTGCTTTAAAATTATAGCATTTAGAATATTACCATCTCATTACACTGTATATAATATGAAGGGTGGCTCATCAACAACTGATGTGGAGCATTGCAAACAAGGCCAAAGGTGATAGAAGAAGGCCTGGAGTATTGATTTTCTCCATATGTGGGGTTTAACATCCCAAAACCACCATATGATTATGAGAGATGCCACAGTAGAGAGCTCCAGAAATTTCGACCACCTGGGGACCTTTAACGTGCAAACCCTAGAGTAACAAGCAGTAGAAGAATGAGGGGACTATTCTTGAGCCAGTTTTGTGAAGACAACATTGCATAATATGATGGGCAAGTGCTTTCTTCTAATTCAACAACATAAGTTACATACTGCTCATTTTCCCTAGCACGTTTAGTCCAGCAAACAATTATAAAAAAATTAAGTACCGCAAGGCAGCCTCAAGAGACCACCAGCAACTATAAGGATATCTTCTGCACAATTGTAAATTTGTGCAGTATGCAGCAAGAGTAGCGAAATAAATCAGACTCATTAACTGAAATAGATGTAGTATATATTGCTTCTACTAAATTAAATAGCACAGCTTCAACTATTGTGTTTATCATTGTTCATCTTAGCTATGTATTTGATATTTCCAATGTAACATGGTAGAGTTATTTTTAGTTTTATATCATGTGCTAGCTTGTGTCCTTCTTGTTTGTGATATGTTCTTTTGCAGGACTTTATATGCAACTTAGACAAAGTGTTCTTGCATTATTCTTTTTACACTCCGTAATAACATAGGTCCATAATGATTATCATGTCTTATCATTATTTTTTGTAATCCTATATAACTATTGTATTATTTTGTGAATGTGTATCACAATGTTTTTATTCCCTTTATACCCACTCCTGCGAAAATCCCTGATGGGATTGACAGTATTGCTAAAATAATAATAATGCTGTAACAAATATGAACGCGATAGCGTTATAGAGCTCGTGTTGCAGAAATTCGACCATCGGCATCGGCACCATTGGTTGTGAGCGAAGAATCGGCTGTGAGCGAAAAATTGAGAAAGAAGCAAATAAAATAAAGAATAAAATTTTCGGCCCCATTGAGAATCGAACCCGGGCCGTTCACGTGGCAAGCAGGTGTTCTATCACAAAACTACTATGTTACTTGCAGCTGCTTCGGGAAAAAACACTACAAAAATGCCATGTAGTGGAAGAAGCCTCCTTAACACTTTTTGTTCGACAGGTGTCACAATAAAAACGAGCTCATTCGGCGATTTGTAGCCGCATTTGGGAGGCCATCAAACTACGTAGAAACAGGCCGGGATAGTGCAGCCATCACTACTAAAAACACACAGGAACTTTCAAACAGCTTTAAAAATAGACAACTATGTCCATCTAGCGGAAAATATATAATGCCTTTCCAGAGGCATTGATCAAGCAAACAGCAAACGCTACATAATGTGCTGCCATCTGTGAGATATTGTAAGACTCTTTATGCCCCTTCAAGAAAATGCCGTTTAAATGCACTAGGGACTGCATTTCACTATCGCGTTCAACTCTTGATTTGTGGGGTTTAACGTCCCAAAACCACCATATGATTATGAGAGACGCCGTAGTGGAGGGCTCCGGAAATTTTGACCACCTGGGGTTCTTTAACGTGCACCCAAATCTGAGTACACGGGCCTACACCATTTCCGCCTCCATCGGAAATGCAGCCGCCACAGCCGGGATTTGATCCCGCGACCTGCGGGTCAGCAGCCGAGTACTTTAGCCACTAGACCACCGTGGCGGGGCTCGCGCTCAACTCTTAAAGACGAAGCTTAAGGGTCCCCCAATTTTTTAGCAGAGAAAAATTAACAAGTAAAGTATCCGTAAATGTAATACTAAACAATAACAACATCTTAACACGTTACCTGGGTGAAATCTATGCACTCATGATCACTGTCTCACAAAACAAAAGGTCTGGATCCTTGAGCGTCTGCGTAGTCGAATCCAACGCAGGCACGAGACCTTTACAAATTACATCGAAGATGTCTTGTCTTTTTGCAAGGGCACGATGCATCTCTAACGAAACACGATAAAATCAAGCACATCATCAAAGGAGTTGACGATACCTTCCAGATGCTCATCGCTAGGAACCCACAGACTGTCACCGACGTTGTCCAGCTCTGTCAGCAGTACGACGAGTTGCGTAAGTAGTATGTCTCAACAGGCAGGGCCGCTGAAGATACAGCTGAAGTTTCCACCCTCATGCACGACGTCGCTGCTTATCACACCGCCTTACTGCCCCACATCAAACAATTCATTCGTGAATAAGCTGTGCAACAACTTTCTCTTGTGGCCGAAGCATCCGAGCCAGAGACCTCGTTAGACCCACATGTACGCCAGGTCATTGAGACACAGGTCACGAAGGCACTGCCTTCTTCGCCATCTGTCACTACGCCGCTGACCTACGCTGCCTTCACTGCTAGACCCCCAGCCCCACCTGTTTCTGGCGCATACCGGAACACCGGGTCCTCCTACCCTACGACGCTGCCTACATACACGGCACCCCATCCTACTTCGCCCCCTGCATTTTCTCTCGTTAACCCATGGCGCACCTTCGATAATCGACCCATCTGTATCGCATGCAGTTTTGTGGGACATATAGCTCGCTACTGTCGCCGTCGCAACTTCGAGCTTTCGGACCGTGAGAATTCTGCAAATTACCAGGTTGCCCAGAATGCCCTGCGACCATCTTCCCCTATCGCCGACTTGTTGTCCCCACAACGCCCTATCAACTCTCGCCGGTCATTACCGCCCCGTCGCCGATCTGTATCCCCGATGCTTCGGCACTCGAGCCCCGCTCGAGAAGAAAACTGACAGCCGCAGTTCCGGAGGCAACAACTGCGTCATCCTCGAACTCTCTAAGACCTCCTTTTTGTTTGCCCAAAGAAATTGATGTGCTAGTAGAAGGTGTTGCTGTATGTGCACTTGTCGACACAGGCGCTGTCATTCCAGTAGTTAGTGAAAAACTGTGTCGCTATTTGAGAAAAGTTACAACGCCACTTACGAATCTTGCTCTGCGTACAGCCACCTCCCATTTCATCGCGCTGATGGCTCAGTGCACAGCACGTGTTCTTATTCAAGATGTTTGGTACGCCATAAACTTTGTTGTTCTTCCACGTTCATCGTGCTGAACTCACGTTGACGAATCCGTGCTTTGATATCGACCACCACAATCCCTCGAAAGTGTTTGCCGCAGCTGATGTCCGCATCGCGCCTTTATCCGCTGTCCTGGTGCGTGTGTTTTCCCCTGCTGACACTAACACGATGCTCATGTTCCAACCAACCATAGCTAGTGCACAACACCGAACCATCGTCCTCCCGTTTCCCGTCATCAACTTTTCCAATGGTTCGGCGGTACTTTATGCGTGCAACGTCTCTACTAGTCCATACATCCTGCTACCCGGCGAGTTTCTGGGGAGCCTCGAGACCTTAGATTGTATTTTCGAAGACCCGATGTACCCGGACAAGCCATTTCTACCGACTTATGCCATTACACCCGCAACTGATGACAATGACCCTATGGATGTATCCCGCAAGTCCATTGATTGCCACCTCACGCCTGGGCAGCAGGAACAGCTGATCAAGCTCCTCCAGAGTTTTCGAGCCTCGTTTGACCACAATCAGCTTTCCTTAGGTCGAGCATCATCTGTTGTTCACCGTATAAATACCGGTCAAAAGACACCATTACGACAGCGTCCATATCATGTGACAACGGCCGAACGCCGTGTCATCAATGAACAGGTCGACGATATACTGATACGTGGCATATTCGAACCGTCAAGCAGTCCCCGGGCCTCTCCAGTTGTGCTGGTGAAGAAGAAAGACGAATCCATGAGGTTCTATGTGGACTACCGACGTCGCAACCGAATCACGCGCAAGGATGCCTATCCGCTGCCGCGCATTGACGATGCCTTGGACTGCCTACAGGGAGCCGAATTTTTCTCATCTTTAGATCTGCGCTCTGGATACTGGCAGAGGCCGATCGCGAAAAAACAGCTTTTATCACGCCAGCAGTACCTTATTGCCCTTAACATGCCCATCCCAACCATTCGACCGTGTCGCCATCGATATCTATGGTTCCCTTCCCAACACTGCAGACGGTAATCGACCACCTCATGTGGTATGCCGAAACTTCATCCCTTCCCTCGTCTACAGCAAAAGACGTTGCGACTTTCGTTCTTCACAACATCGTATTACATCATGGAGCACCTCAAGAGTTACTGAGTGATCGTGGTCGCGTATTCTTGTCAGACATCATCACAGCATTGCTGAAGGAGTGCCACGTCATTCACCGCACTACATGCGCCTATCATCACCAGACCAACGGAATGACAGAGCGCTTCAACCGCACCCTTGGTGACAAGTGTCGATGTACATCTCGTCAGACCACTCCTATTGGGACCGAGTGCTCCCGTTTATCACGTTTGCCTATAATACCGTTATTCAACGCACTACTGGGTTCTCTCCTTTTTTCGTCCTTTAAGGATGCGAACCTTCTTGCACTATGGACACCAATATTTTGTACAGACCTTACTCCTCAGAGTCCACAACTCTATCTCAAGCAGCTACATACACTGAAGGATGCCACTAACAGGCAAGATCATTCACAACCCAAGACCAAGGACGCCAAAAGCACCACCATGACGCATCAATTAACACTACTTCCTAAGAGCCAGGTTCACACGTCTGGCTGCATGTCCTTTC